TTTTTTTCCGAAACACAGTAGTACACAGCAATGCGTCAAACACTTCAGTGTGGAAAAAAGGCGCACTGGAAAACAACAAAGCACACGGGTGAAAATAATCTGGCAACACTAAATTTAACGAGCTCTACCGAGCTAATCGAACCTCCACAATAAACAATCACACACAAAGACAAGGGGGCAGAGGGAACACTTATACAGGTACTGATGAGGGGATATGAACCAGGTGTGTGTAATAAACAAGACAAAACCAATGGAATGATGAGATGACGAGCGGCAGTGGCTAGAAGGCCAGTGACGACGAAAGCCGAAGCCTGCCCGAACAACGAGAGGAGGCAGCTTCGGAGGAAGTCGTGACACTCTCTGAGTATCACAGAAACACAACACTTTGATTGAATAACACACAAGTTTTCATAACAAGTGGCTATGGATGAAATTGATCCAAACATCTGTTTACAACATGAAAAACATACAAAAACGTTTATTTTGAAATATCTAATTTGACTACAATTTGTATTATATATTTTTTTTTACAATATATGCTTATTTGGGGGAATCTAAACCATTTACTTGTGTTACAAAAGGATAATAAAATAAAAAGTGTTGCTGCTTGACAGACAGTGTGTTGGTGCTTTTAGGATTAAAGGAGGCTACAGGAAGAAGACTGGATCTAGAGTAGAGAGACTAAAACAGGAAGAAGACGACTGGAGGAGGACGTGTTGCCGGACAACACAATACCCTTTCTGTCAGCATCAACACAACTCATGGAGAAGATGTGCACAGTGCACTCCAACTGGATCTAGAGTAGAGAGACTGAAACATCTCCCAAACAAAGTCATTCTGTTGATCAGGATAAATCAGAGTCCTCACCTGTCTGATTACTAGTCTACATATAAGTCATTCTGTTGATCAGGATATATCAGAGTCCTCACCTGTCTGATTACTAGTCTATATATAAGTCATTCTGTTGATCAGGATAAATCAGAGCCCTCACCTGTCTGATTAATAGTCTATATATAAGTCATTCTGTTGATCAGGATAAATCAGAGTCCTCACCTGTCTGATTACTAGTCTATATATAAGTCATTCTGTTGATCAGGATAAATCAGAGTCCTCACCTGTCTGATTACTAGTCTATATATAAGTCATTCTATTGATCAGGATATATCAGAGTCCTCACCTGTCTGATTACTAGTCTATATATAAGTCATTCTGTTGATCAGGATAAATCAGAGTCCTCACCTGTCTGATTACTAGTCTATATATAAGTCATTCTGTTGATCAGGATAAATCAGAGTCCTCACCTGTCTGATTACTAGTCTATATATAAGTCATTCTGTTGATCAGGATAAATCAGAGTCCTCACCTGTCTGATTACTGGTCTATATATAAGTCATTCTGTTGATCAGGATAAATCAGAGTCCTCACCTGTCTGATTACTAGTCTATATATAAGTCGTTCTGTTGATCAGGATAAATCAGAGTCCTCACCTGTCTGATTACTAGTCTATATATAAGTCGTTCTGTTGATCAGGATAAATCAGAGTCCTCACCTGTCTGATTACTAGTCTATATATAAGTCATTCTGTTGATCAGGATAAATCAGAGTCCTCACCTGTCTGATTACTAGTCTATATATAAGTCATTCTATTGATCAGGATATATCAGAGTCCTCACCTGTCTGATTACTAGTCTATATATAAGTCATTCTGTTGATCAGGATAAATCAGAGTCCTCACCTGTCTGATTACTAGTCTATATATAAGTCATTCTGTTGATCAGGATAAATCAGAGTCCTCACCTGTCTGATTACTGGTCTATATATAAGTCATTCTGTTGATCAGGATAAATCAGAGTCCTCACCTGTCTGATTACTAGTCTATATATAAGTCGTTCTGTTGATCAGGATAAATCAGAGTCCTCACCTGTCTGATTACTAGTCTATATATAAGTCATTCTGTTGATCAGGATAAATCAGAGTCCTCACCTGTCTGGTTACTAGTCTATATATAAGTCATTCTATTGATCAGGATAAATCAGAGTCCTCACCTGTCTGATTACTAGTCTATATATAAGTCATTCTGTTGATCAGGATAAATCAGAGTCCTCACCTGTCTGATTACTAGTCTATATATAAGTCATTTTATTGATCAGGATATATCAGAGTCCTGCACACGGACAGCCTTCCTGGATTCTGAGCATAGCTGGCACTCCACACGGACAGCCTTCCTGGATCCTGGAGCATAACTGGCACTGCACACGGACAGCCTTCCTGGATCCTGGAGCATAACTGGCACTCCACACGGACAGCCTTCCTGGATCCTGGAGCATAACTGGCACTCCACACGGACAGCCTTCCTGGATCCTGGAGCATAACTGGCACTCCACACGGACAGCCTTCCTGGATCCTGGAGCATAACTGGCACTGCACACGAGACCACTACCTGAACACAACAAAGACCAATATGTTCAGACTTTCTGTAGGCCTGCTGTATTTTCCTGCTGTATTTTCCTGCTGTATTTTCCTGCTGTATTTTCCTGCTGTATTTTCCTGCTGTATTTTCCTGCTGTATTTTCCTGCTGTATTTTCCTGCTGTATTTTCCTGCTGTATTTTCCTGCTGTATTTTCCTGCTGTATTTTCCTGCTGTATTTTCCTGCTGTATTTTCCTGCTGTATTTTCCTGCTGTATTTTCCTGCTGTATTTTCCTGCTGTATTTTCCTGCTGTATTTTCCTGCTACCTCAATACTCATATTATTCCAGCCATTAGAAGGCACTCAATATGGTTAGAGAATAAGAAAATGAAATCAAGCATTGGAACTCGTAAAGTGGATTACCTGCAATACAAGCTTTGGAGAAACCCAAAATATTTCAGGACAAATAAACCATGCAGAGGCAATTACATCAAGGTCTCTCTACAGAACGTCAACAGTTGGCATCTGATGTGGTTAAATACACAGTGTGAGCAGCTTGCCTTGCTCTGATGCCCCGCCCACACTATCTTCTCTTCCTGGATCACCAGCTCCATCCCAGAGTCATTTGTTCCGTTGAACACACCCACGTTGATGAACTCCATGTTCCCACCTGAACCCCACTGCCAGTTGATGAGGTCATAGGACAGGATGGCATCCCCTTTCTGGTCAAAGTTCACCTTTTCTCCAGATACAGTTAAGGACACGTCCTGGAGATATTGCTGGAGCTGACAAGAGGAAAAATATTTGTCTCAATCTTTAACTCCATCTAATTACATTTGTTGACTCACCAAAATCTGTTTAGTTATTTACATAATTATATGCTTTTTCCCCACTTTAATTATTAATTGACACATAACTGCCAGGGGTGTATTCATTAAGAAGAGGACAATCCAGTAGACTTGAGTGCAGAGTAGGGGTTAAACATCATGAAAATGCCCTGAATGTTTCAATGGGATGTGACAATCAGAACCTATCCTCCACCCACTCTTTTTTTTATTTCAATAGGACTTGAGCTACACATCTAGATGTGCATGATCTAGTGCTGCCAGGGGCTGGTCGGTGTAGTCCGTGCCAGGCAGCGCCACCCTGTAGTGTAGGGGAAAGATCCCACCATCATGAAGTCACCCTGGGCTAAGAACCCAGGCCACCTGCAGGTAGCAGGTGGGCTGGGTAGAGGTGGATTATGTCAGAGGGGAAATGGAGACGGGGCAGTACAAGGACCACCACAGAAGAAGAGACATCCTCAGACTGCTCCGATAGATGGAGATAAATCCTCCTGCACATAGACAAGATGGTCGGAGATGGACTGATATCCTCCCAGACAGACTTGTCCAGTATAGATGGACTGATATCCTCCCACACAGACTGGTCCAATATAGACGGACTGATATCCTCCCAGACAGACTGGTCCAATATAGACGGACTGATATCCTCCCAGACAGACTGGTCCAGTATAGATGGACTGATATCCTCCCACACAGACTGGTCCAATATAGACGGACTGATATCCTCCCAGACAGACTGGTCCAGTATAGACGGACTGATATCCTCCCAGACAGACTGGTCCAGTATAGACGGACTGATATCCTCCCACACAGACTGGTCCAGTATAGATGGACTGATATCCTCCCACACAGACTGGTCCAGTATAGACGGACTGATATCCTCCCAGACAGACTGGTCCAGTATAGATGGACTCTTCAGGTTGTTCTGGTCTCGTTATCATTTCATCTGGTTAAATTGGGACTTTTATGGCAGACAGTATGTGTGACAGGTAATAAGAATCCCACTCAATATATCACACTTCACACTGTGTTTTAAGTGATTGTAATTGTTTTCTTAATATTTTAGTAGGAGGCCTATATACAAATAATATTTTATTGATGGGCTGTTATCAATCGTAGTGACATCACATCACACAGAGACGGTACGGCAGAGCTTTGTTCTAATGCAGTGCATATACTGCCACCTACTGTTGAACAGGAAATCTGGTACGAAAATGTGGTACAGAAATTACTGATTTACTGTATACCCATTTAATTCTAGAAGACTATAACTTATAAATGCCTCATGAGTTCAACTGTCGAAACCCCGTCAGAACCCAAAATATAAGCTCAGTTTACTCCAACGTTTGTAAACAATGTAAACAAACACTGTATGGCCTCAAAACACGGTAAAAACTATCGTGTTGATCCCATGGATGGGCGGTCATTAAATCCATAGCCATGTCTATTAATTTGATAGTGGTTACATTTCTCCAGGCACATCCCTCAGCTTAAAAAAAAAACCAAAACAGAGGTGGGGTGTAGCTTTGTTATTGTTTCAACTAAGGATTCTAGCGTTAAGATCCACTCAGTAGAGAATGCCCTGCTGTAAGAAAAAGGGAAAGTAGGACTTTGTCTGCAGTGATGTCATCACAACCAGGTTTCTGGGGGTTTATAAATAGGGACCAAGCGTCCTACCCCACAGGGGTTTGACGAGGACTGGAAGCCCTTACTGATCTCACATCATATATCCACTCTCCGCCTGCCATGATACACCTCTCTGCCACACTCCTGCTGCTGGGCCTTCTCCTGTGGGCCAGCAGGGTTTGCTCTGCCACAGCCCAGGACGGGTGCACTTTCCTTGGAGAGGAGGAGACGAGCAGCTTCATCAGGAGGGAGATGTGGTTCTTGGTGGCTTGTTCCCTCTCCACTGTAGCCCTGTGTCCTCTGTGACATAATTTCAATGGAATTGCTTTCCTTGACTGCTACGTGAATATTAAGGGCTATATGCAATGTTTGAGTATATCTTACAGAGTGCACCTTTAACCTGCTGTTCTCTCTGCTTTGGACTGGCTTGCAGATCATAATATACAGATAAGGGATCTTAATTTGTTCACTCTTTTGTTGCTGAGAATTTTCCTGTTCCGCAGGAAATGCATATTAGCTTTGTAATTTACATAAACCCGCACCTACACATGGTAAAAATAACAGTATTGCACTTTTCATGGAGGCTAATTTGGGCCAGCTAATAGCCTGACCACTGATCAAGCAACATTATGGACTAAATGTTCCAATTCTGTTGCTGCAGGATTATTTTGCTGTGACAATACTGGACAAATGAACATCCCACATCTGTACTGTATTTTTACTTTGGCAGGACACGTTATTTAATATCTTCAAATGTTATATATAAAAAGTCATGTAATGTAGTACTTTGACTGCTACAAATGCCTGTATATCATAAATATTAAAAGCTCTACGCAATGCTTGAGGACATCTTACAGAGTACACCATTAAACTGCTGTTCCCTCTTCTTTCAGGTGAGCTACTTTGCGTCCTGCAGCTGTCTGACTGACCAGAAGCAGTTCCCTACGTTCATGCGCACCATGCCCACCGATCCCTTTCAGATACATGCCCTGGCTCGCCTGGTATGCTACTTCCATTGGACCTGGGTGGGCGTCATCAGGGTGGAGTCTGACCATGCCCGCTTTGCCATCCAGTTGTTTCTACAGGAGTCCGTCCAGTATGGTGTGTGTGCAGCCTACGTCCACTTCTACCCAGTGGTCCTTACCCAGCAGGCTGTGGGACAGCACATGATTATACATTTAGTTATTATTGTCATTGTTACCCGTGGGGTTGTCCTCCTGAATCCTCCTGAATTTCTCTGGTGAGTAGGAGCTTCGGAGTGTCCTGAGGGAGTGTCCTGAGGGAGTTTGGAGCTTCGGAGTGTCCTGAGGGAGTGTCCTGAGGGAGTGTAGGAGCTTCGGAGTGTCCTAAGGGAGTGTCCTGAGGGAGTGTAGGAGCTTTGGAGTGTCCTGAGGGAGTGGCTTGAGGGAGTGTCCTGAGGGAGTGTCAGAGCTTCGGAGTGTCCTAAGGGAGTGTCCTGAGGGAGTGTAGGAGCTTTGGAGTGTCCTGAGGGAGTGGCTTGAGGGAGTTTTGGAGCTTCGGAGTGTCCTGAGGGAGTGTCCTGAGGGAGTGTAGGACCTTTGGAGTGTCCTGAGGGAGTGGCTTGAGGGAGTGTCAGAGCTTTGGAGTGTCCTGAGAGAGTGGCTTGAGGGAGTGTCAGAGCTTTGGAGTGTCCTGAGGGAGTGTCGGCATCAGAAATTCACCTGGCTGCAGCTGATCACCAGAGAGGCCTAGGCCATCGCCAAGTCCCTGGGGCTAGAGTTTGGAAATATCCTGACGGAAACACTGGGATTTGGCATACGGAAGGCTGATGTTATTCACAGGCTCAAGGACTTCCTGACCAGACTTGGAACGTCCCACAGACGTCAGTCGGCATTCCTGGCAGAGTTCTCGGAAGAAACATTCAACTGTAGAGTGAACGGATCCTTAAACACACAATATCACTTTGTCAGTTACCTGGACAGAGAACCCTGTAAGGGATGTGAGGGTCGGGGGATGAGTACACACCCTAATGCTGATGTGAGCCAGCTCAGAGTGTCCTATAACGTGTCTATGGCTGTGTATCTCATCGCCCACGCCCTGCAGCATTTGACCAACTGTGTCGCTGGCCAGGGGCCTTTTATCAATGGCACCTGTGGGGACCCAACGCATGTTAAACCATGGCAGGTGACTCTATAGCTGAAGATACTCTGCTCAGTATTGCTGAATAGATATCAATCCCTGTTTCTCATTCACATGCATGCAGACACACACACACACACACACACACACACACACACACACACACACACACACACACACACCAGTAGGTGGAGTAGAGTGTATCGTTTCTTTTCTCAGCCTCTCCACTCCTCTCTCCCCAGCTACTCCATTACATGAAGCAGGTGAAGTTTTCCACACTCGGAGAGGAGGTCAGCTTTGACCACAACGGTGACCCCATCGCTTCCTATGACCTCATGAACTGGCAGAGTGGGCAGGATGGCTCCCTGTGATTCGTCAAAGTGGGGTTCTATGACACCTCATTGGCCGAGGGCCGAGACCTGGTCATAATTGACTCAGTGATTCAGTGGCCTGTGGGAAAGCAGGTGTGACTGATATCAGTACTCCTGAGTGGTGCAGTGGTCTAAGGCACTGCATCGCAGTGCTAACTGTGCCACTAGAGATCCTGGTTCGAATCCAGGCTCTGTCGCAGCCGGCCGCGACCTGGAGACTCATGGGCGGCGCACAATTGGCCCAGGGTAGGGGAGGGAATGGCCGGCAGGGATGTAGCTCAGTTGATAGAGGATGGCGTTTGCAACGCCAGGGTTGTGGGTTCGATTCCCACGGGGGGCCAGTAAAATAAATAAATAATGTATTCACTAACTGTAAATCGCTCTGGATAAGAGCGTCTGCTAAATGACTAAAATGTATATCACAGTCTAGGTTCCTAGTTCTACGTTTAATGACTCAGTGGCCTGTGGGAACGCAGCCTGATATCACAGTCTAGGTGCTTAGTTCTACGTTTAATGACTCAGTGGCCTGTGGGAAAGCAGCCCGATATCACAGTCTAGGTGCTTAGTTCTACGTTTAATGACTCAGTGGCCTGTGGGAAAGCAGCCTGATATCACAGTCTAGGTGCTTAGTTCCACGTTTAATGACTCAGTGATTCAGTGGCCTGTGGGAAAGCAGCCCGATATCACAGTCTAGATGCTTAGTTCTACGTTTAATGACTCAGTGGTTCAGTGGCCTGTGGGAAAGCAGCCCGATATCACAGTCTAGGTGCTTAGTTCTACGTGTAATGACTCAGTGATTCAGTGGCCTGTGGGAAAGCAGCCAGATATCACAGTCTAGGTGCTTAGTTCCACGTTTAATGACTCAGTGATTCAGTGGCCTGTGGGAAAGCAGCCCGATATCACAGTCTAGGTGCTTAGTTCTACGTTTAATGACTCAGTGGTTCAGTGGCCTGTGGGAAAGCAGCCCGATATCACAGTCTAGGTGCTTAGTTCTACGTGTAATGACTCAGTGGTTCAGTGGCCTGTGGGAAAGCAGCCCGATATCACAGTCTAGGTGCTTAGTTCTACGTTTAATGACTCAGTGATTCAGTGGCCTGTGGGAAAGCAGCCCGATATCACAGTCTAGGTGCTTAGTTCTACGTGTAATGACTCAGTGATTCAGTGGCCTGTGGGAAAGCAGCCCGATATCACAGTCTAGGTGCTTAGTTCTACGTGTAATGACTCAGTGATTCAGTGGCCTGTGGGAAAGCAGCCCGATATCACAGTCTAGGTGCTTAGTTCTACGTGTAATGACTCAGTGATTCAGTGGCCTGTGGGAAAGCAGCCAATATCTCAGTCTAGGTGCTTAGTTCTACGTTTACTTCTCAGTCTGTTCTCTGTTGTCTTCTTAACGTCACTGGAGAATATCAAGTTGGCATTTTATAAACTACATTTGGCTAGTTTGAAAAGAGTTCTTACACACCCCTTATTACATGCAATCAGTATATCTGAGTGGTGCCCCTCTGCCCCCCAGGCAGCTCGCCCAGTGTGCAGTGGGAGCTGTCCCCCAGGCACCCGTGTAGCCAGGTGGAAGGGGGAGCCTGTCTGCTGCTTCGACTGCATCCCCTGTGCTGAGGGGGAGGTCAGCAGTCAAACTGGTGTGTTTTCCCTTATTTCCCTCCTTTCTCACCAGTCATTGGTCAGAACTAAAGAACAGTGTTCTCTCGTCTCTCTGTCAGAATCTTTAAACTACTGCCAGATGGTTAAGTGTTTCCACTGCTCCAGTCCAATGGCGGCAAGCTTTACACCACTCCAGCCGACGCTTGGAAAAGTTATTGTGCTGACATTGCTTCCAGAGGCAGTTTGGAACTCGGGAGTGAGTGTTGCAACCGAGGACAGCACTTGGCGGTCGTGTTCTGTGAGCTTGTGTGGCCTACCACTTCACGGCTGAGCCGTTGTTGCTCCTAGACGTTTCCACTTTCCAATAATAGCACTTACAGTTGACCGGGGCAGCTTTGACTAACTGACTTGTTGGAAAGGTGGCATTCTTTGGGGGTGCCACGTTGAACGTTTACTGAGCTCTTCAGTAAGGCCATTATACGGCCAATGTTTGTCTATGGAGATTGCATGGCTGTGTTCTCGATTTTATACACCTGTCAGCAACGGTTGTGGCTGAATTAGCTGAATCCACTAATTTGAAGGGGTGTCTACATATTTTTGTATATATAGTTTATTTTATTAGTAATAAAAGTCATACAAGTTTACAATACATTCGCCACTAAGTTATGTGCAATATTGACCATGTATAATATGTTACATATTTATCTTAGGTTAGGAAGAAGTTGCATGACATTATACGAAACAGAATAAATATACATGTTGCTCTTTATTTTAAAATAAAACCAGACAATCTTAATGAGATTTTATGATTAGTTATTTATTAGCATTTGACTTATCTGCTCACATCTTGGTAAAACAAGTATATACAGGAATAAAACAAGTAGTACATAGAAGACTGACTAGTAGTCATTCATGCTGAATGTGATAAAACATCTTCCATAGATTTGCTTAGCAGCAGCAGGAGAAATGAAAAGGATAAGCTATGCATATATATATATAGTTGAAGTCGGAAGTTTACATACACTTAGGTTGAAGTCATTAAAACTGGTTTTTCAACCACTCCACAAATTTCTTGTTAACAAACTATAGTTTTGGCAAGTCGGTTAGGACATCTACTTTGTGCATGACACAAGTAATTTTTCCAACAATTGTTTACAGACAGATTATTTCACTTATAATTCACTGTATCACAATTCCAGTGGGTCAGAAGTTTACATACACTAAGTTGACTGTGCCTTTAAACAGCTTATATTCCAGAAAATGATGTCTTGGCTTTAGAAGCTTCTGATAGGCTAATTGACATCATTTGAGTCAATTGGAGGTATACCTGTGGATGTATTTCAAGGCCTACCTTCAAACTCAGTGCCTCTTTGCTTGACATCATGGCGAAATCAAAATAAATCAGCCAAGACCTCAGAAAAACAATTGCAGACCTCCACAAGTCTGGTTCATCCTTGGGAACAATTTCCAAACGCCCGAAGTTACCACGTTCATCTGTTCAAACAATAGTACGCAAGTATAAACACCATGGGACCATGCAGCCGTCATACCGCTCAGGAAGGAGACGTGTTCTGTCTCCTAGAGATGAACGTACTTTGGTGCAAAAAGTGCAAATCAATCCAAGAACAACAGCAAAGGACATTGTGAAGATACTGGAGGAAACAGGTACAAAAGTATCTATATCCACAGTAAAACGAGTCCTACATCGACATAACCTGAAAGGCAGCTCAGCAAGGAAGAAGCCACTTTTCCAAAACCGCCAGAAAAAAGCCAGACTACGGTTTGCAATTGCACATGTGGACAGATATCGTACTTTTTGGAGAAATGCCCTCTGGTATGATGAAACAAAAATAGAACTGTTTGGCCATAATGACCATCGTTATGTTTGGAGGAAAAAGGGGGTTTTGCAAGCCGAAGAACACCATCCCAACCGTGAAGCACGGGGGTGGCAGCATCATGCTGTGGGGGTGCTTTGCTGCAGGTGGGACTGGTGCACTTCACAAAATAGATGGCATCATGAGGAAGGAAAATTATGTGGATATATTGAAGCAACATCTCAAGACATCAGTCAGGAAGTTAAAGCTTGGTCGCAAATGGGTCTTCCAAATGGACCAAGCATACTTCCAAAGTTGTGGCAAAATGGCTTAAGGACAACAAAGTCAAGGTATTGGAGTGGCCATCACAAAGCCCTGACCTCAATCCTATAGAAAATGAAATGGGCAGAACTGAAAAAGCGTGTGCGAGCAAGGAGGCCTACAAACCTGACTCAGTTACACCAGCTCTGTTATGTGGAATGGGCCAAAATTCACCCAACTTATTGTGGGAAGCTTGTGGAAGGCTACCCGAAATGTTTGACCCATGTTAAACAATTTAAAGACAATGCTACCAAATACTAATTGAGTGTATGTAAACTTCTGACCCACTGGAAATGTGAAGAAATAAATTAAAGCTTAAATAAATAATTCTCTCTAATATTATTCTGACATTTCACATTCTTAAAATAAAGTGGTGATCCTAACTGACCTAAGACAGGGAATTTTTACTAGGATTGAATGTCAGGAATTGTGAAAAACTGAGTTTAAATTTATTTGGCTAAGGTGTATGTAAACTTCCGACTTCAACTGTATATACATATATATATAGACCCCCTGTAGCTCAGTTGGTAGAGCATGGTGCTTGCAACGCCAGGGTTGTGGGTTCGTTTCCCACGGGGGGCCAGTATGAAAATGTATGCACTCACTAACTGTAAGTCACTCTGGATAAGAGCGTCTGCTAAATGACTAAAATGTAAATGTAAATATATATATATATATATATATATATATATATATATATATATATATATATATATATATATATATATATATGTATATATTTGACAAGTAGTGTAGTACAGAAAATACATATTTTTCTAATGGGATTCTTTAGCACTCAGCGATCTGAGAATATATTTCTTTACACTGCTAGCTACATGAAAGCAAAGCTAATTTAATAATCAAGGCATACATACTTTTGATTTCAATAACCAAACCTGAGTACATCACTGGTGTTTGTTTCAATTCTTCCCCATGACATGTTTCTTGGTATTTTTCTCTGGTTTGATAAAAATTATATAACATTTTGGAGCAAAAATACAAATCAATAATCCAAAGGCAGAAGATAAAATAGCAAATATCTCCACAGCTACAGTGAACTTCCCAGGAGAGCTGACATAAGCTGGGATAAAGGTGATCCAGACTGCACAGAATATGAGCATGCTGAAGGTGATGAATTTGGCCTCGTTGAAGTTATCAGGCAGCTTTCGAGACAGAAAAGCCAGAACCAAGCATATCCCTGCAAGAATACCTATATATCCCAACACTGCATAAAACGCAGCCTCGGAACCAGTGTTACATTCTAGAACGATCTTCCTTTGACTAAATCTGAAGTCCCTGTGAGGGTAAGGTGGGTTCAGGTTTAGCCAGAGCACACAGATAAATACCTGAACCACCGTGCAGGAGCACACTATGATCCTCTGCTGGGAGGGCCCAAACTTCCCCGCCATGTTGTTGCTGGGCAGGGTAGACCTGAAGGCTGTTACCACCACAATAGTCTTGCCCAGCATGCAGGAGATGCAGAGGGCAAAGGTCACCCCGAAGGCGGTGTGGCGCAGCATGCAGGTCCAGGCGGTGGGCCTGCCGATGAAGGTGAGGGGACAGAGGAAGCACAGGAAGAGAGAGAACAGCAGTAGAGAGCTCAGCTCAGAGTTACTGGCTTTGACCACTGGTGTGTCCTTATAGGTGATGAACACCAGCATGGTGGCAAATGACAGGCAGGCTCCGAGCAGGGACACCATGGTAAGGGCGATCCCCATTGGTTCGTGGTAAGACAGGAACTCGACTGTTTTCAGGATGCATTGGTCCCTCCCGTCGTTGGACCAGTACTCCTGTGGACAGGGGCTGCAGTCTGCTGCTCCTGAATAACTCACACACAAGACCAGCTTATAGTTCATTAAACTATAATTAAGTTTTTAAAAAACGTTTAGTTTTCATTTTGACTGTGGGTAATTGTCCTTATGCAGTACTTTTATCTTCAGTCACAAATTAACATAATTTGGAACATATAATTATAATATTATGATGGTGATATACTGTACAATGTTGTGTGATATTCCAGTGTGTTCAATGTAGGCCTACCTGCTGATATTCCATTCCAGTGTGTTGAATGTAGGCCTACCTGTTGTGTTGGCTATTGTCCCATCAGCACAGGGGATGCAGTCAAAACAGCAGACAGGTTTTCCTTTGATTTGGGCTTTTCTGGTTCCAACAGGACAGATTTGAGAGCACACTGCTACAGGAATCTAATGAGGAAAGTAAATAGCATGTTAGCAATTTTCCATGCAAATACAGTAAATAAATAAATAATGGTAATGGATATTTCTACCTCAAATATTCAGTAAAATGTGTGTTGCTGTAGCTACCGATTTCCCTGTCCTCCAAACTATGTCATCTTCCTGGATGCTGAGTTCGTAGGCCTTGTTAGCAGCTAAGCCAAACTGGCCCACAGTCACATGCTGCACCTGACCTGCCCTCAGCTGCCAGTTGATTATGTCATACGCAGCAGGGGGGTCTCCATTTGCGTCAAAGAACACAGCCTCACCAAATTGATTTATGAAATGCACAGTTTTCAGTTGATCACTGACCTGACGATGAGAAGATGGAGAAAGATGAATGTTATTGCATGAATAGCAGTAGGACAAGAAAGAAGCCAAGGCTCCCCCCCCCCCCCCCCCCCCTCCAAGCTCACCTCAGTAGGCTGTATCTGTGACAGATTCACACACGGTCTCATCTGGCTTTCCCCTTCTTTTTTGCAAAATATTAAGCGATTAATGGCGTGTGCAACAGCATACACTGCCTTATACACGTTATAAGACACTCTCAGCTGTGTGACATTGAAGAACAGATCCTGTGAGTCCACAAGTGTCTCCGCTCCAGTACACGTATTACTGCCCCTCTCAGAGCCTGAGGGCTCACCGGTTGAGAGAGGCTGACAACCTAC